ATAAATATAAAGATTATCCTCATTGCCCGCTTCTTCGCTGTTTGAGACTAGTTTCCAGAACAACTTTTAAACTCGGTCCGCTTGGGGTACGCCAACAAGTCACAACAGACAAACGAGATTCATGAAGCACGGATACTTATATACAATATGTTTGAAAATTAGCAGCATACTTTCTCCTATTTACTACTTTTACCGTTTGCTTCAAACATTATATCAATTTGTTTCCAACATTAATATACAGAAAATCATTTTCCTCGTTGGTTATGCTGCCAGTTCTTCTTTCTTTCTTCCTACCCTCATCTTTCTTAGGTCATTGATCATCCGGTGAACCTTCGACGTTCGGAAGAAAGAAAACGGCAAGAGGCTTTTTGTATAAGCAATATTCTGATGCCTTTAACAATCGTAAGTGTCTCGACAGCGTTATTTCTTGCTGAATGATATTTTTCTAATTTAGTTTAACATTTAGTCTGAAGCTGACTTGAAAACATCCATAAGGCTGATCTGACAGACACTTGTGATGCAACAATTTGAACTCCTCCAATGTTATTTGTTTGAAAGCTAACTTTTCCACTGAGATCGAGGTAACATATTGTGAAGGGCAGCTCAGTTTGCTGAAATATTCCGTCATACCGACGCGAAGAGCCCGTTCCAGTCCTCCAACAATCTCGTCGAAGTATTTTAAACGAAACAATTAAACTTCCGTCAGTCTGGCTCCAGAAGGCAGATGACCAAGTTTGTAGTCCTCATCTTCATTGGTTCTGGAAGTTGGTACCCGTTCATAATCCACGAACGCCAGGCATGTACAGGATACTCAAAATGAGACCGATCTAGGGTCCCATACTGTTTAAGTTTATACGAAAGCATGTCTTAGTGCGAATAGAACTCTAGCGTTCGTTTCCATGCCTTTAACTACTGTTTAAGCCAGGATGTCATAAGAACACTGAGGTCCTTCTGCTCCCCAACATTTGAACGGACTGCTCACTAAGAAGACATCGAAAATAATCTTTCTCGTTGGTCCTTCTTGTACGTAGTCTTAGGGCCACACACCTAACAACGAGCCGGTCAGCTGCTGAGTCGGTTAAAGCACCCGTGAAGTCTGAGCCTATCTACGTCGGACCTGACGGTCCTCCAGCCGGATGCTAGACGGAATAACGTATCCCAATGAGTATAATCTAGTAGATATGATAATGCGTGGAAAGCCAGAGTGTTATGAATGATTTACTAAGGTTAGAAGGAGTATAATATGAGTAATGGGTAAGGGACTCCCAGACGAGTGCACTCCAGCCATGAGTGGGTTGAAGTCCAGAGTCGCATTCCGGTCGGTGTAGTCGCCGGGTCTGGAGGTCTGCAACCGAACAGTAGATCGTCGGTTCCGGGAGTGACTGAGCGTAAACAACTCCCCCACAGTAAGCTCCTGACCTTGAGAAGGCCAGACAGGGAGTGACCTTGAACGGAGATTTTGACTATCGTGTCTTGCGCACGTATGGTGGTCATGCCAGACATGACCTGTCCCCGCGGCGTCCGAGGAAAGCATGATTAAGAATAAGGGGTCGCTACATAGTCAGCAGACAAGACCGCAGTGCAGTTGGTCAGAGTCATTATTGTAAACCAGGTACAGATATGGTCCGAGGGTTGAGCCCTGGGGAGGCACCACTTAAAAAAGCAGTAGAGGTTGGGTTCGAGGCATCAACGCAGACAGTTTTTGACCATCCTCTAAGAAATTCTGTTATCTATGTCAATAGCTTGTCTCCTATTCCAATTTCAGATACTTTTTAATATTAGAAGTTTGTGTGCAAAGCTGTCGAATTTCTTCCTGAAATAAGTGTAGATGAGGTCAAGCCTATTCTACGCCTTCCGTGTACCGCCATACTGCACAGCTGAAAGCAAACAACTAGATGGACACGTACGGTTCTATCTAAAGTCGTGCTGATATCCCAGGAGTAAGCGGTTCCCTCAAGGAACTTCATTTTCGCTTTCTTACGCATGGCTTCCATATTATTACAACGGACGCATGTAAGACTTACAAAACGACCACATTGATACTGGTTTAGGCTCCAGCCTTATGTATCGAATCGATCTTTTCTCTTTTCCCTTTGGGGGGCAGTCGGTCCAGCTAAAAAGGCGAATGTAAGCAAGAGATATGCCAGTGGTTCGGAGAGTTCGCCGGCAACTATTTTTAAAAACTTAAACGTTTCAAGGTCCGGACCCGATAACTTAACTTCTTTGAGGGTACTGCAGCTCTCTTTCTACAGCAGCTGCCGGGAAATATCTAAACTTCAAGCACTGGACCGGCATTTGGAACGAGGCGGTTAACATTGCAAATCCAAAACTCCTTTTTTTAACGGACACAGAAGCAAAGAATTGACCCATGTAAACGGCTTATTCATTATTTTCAGGAGTTCTACGCAATTTAAATCCTTGTGTCCTGTCAATGGGTCCTTATTCCTTAATCAAGTTCTGACAAAATGCAATACAAACTTGGGTTTCTCTTCGGCCTGCTAAAGATTTTGTTATTCATAATCTCGCTTTAACCTGAGCCGGCACACCTAGACAACTTCTCTCGCCTTGCCAAGCCCGCTCGTAGGTCAGATCAAATTTCGGTTCTTTATTTCCTTAGCACGTTTAAACCCTGTAGGCCGATTTCTACCCGAACAGTGTATCTTATTACTATTTAATGACTGTGCGCGGTTGAATAAAAGGTCACGACCTTTTATGACATAATTTAGTTCTATATATTTTGTCGCCTTTTTACTTATTCAAATTAATTCCTGACATTTTTTCAACCACCTGCGAACTATTTAAAATAGATTCATTTGTGCTCAAACGAAGTTGAATTAGGGGATGTTACCGTTTAGTGAACGTGTGCAGTTATAAGAAATTGCCAACATAAAACCCGTGGCAGGGAAAAGATCATTAACACTTCTAAGTCGGATTTTCTCGCAGTTTGTGTCCTTTAGAAAACCTAAATTTTCCGTCTTCCGCAGGTTTCTGATCATAACGGTTCTCGCTGCCAACGTTGACACCATGCATTTCGCAGAACTTTAAACTGGCCGGTCATACGGGTTGCCTATTTGATTTTGCCTGTGGTTGCCATTTGCCTGCCAGTTAATTAGGCGTTGGGTCATTACGGAAAGCCGAACCCATGCCTCGTTAGAATTCCAAATATAAAATAAATTAGGAATCTTTTGGTATACTATGCTTGTCCAGAGTCCTTTTGGCACTTTCTCAGGGTAACAATTCCATTTATGCGAGTAATTTAGTTAACATATTTGTTACTTGGAAGCTTTGTCTTCCGTATTTTATTGCCTAAGCAATTTTTGACAGAATCAGTTCAGAAAAGAAGGCAGTCATATATTTTGAGGGAATTATACCGAAAACAACCCATGTATGTTAAAAAGTGGCCGCCTCCTTCGACAGTTGTCGTCGTACTTTAGTTAGCAGCGCATTTGAGCCGGTTGCAACGCCGACTACAGCACTCGACATCTTTTCCACAGAAGTGCCCTTTCGGGAGACATTTCACGCACTTGCCCTTACCAAAAGTCTGCAAATCACACAGCAGGTCGCCACAGCAGCGCTGGAAAACGGTTTTATTGCAAGTATCGTCCTTTTTCATGCATTTGCCGGCTACAGATAAACAAGGCAGGAGGTCATATGGGAATCATTCTAATTTTCGCAAAAGATACGTACATGAGTAAGGTGGAATTGTACCGAGATGAAATAAAAACTATTGGAAACATTGAATTCCATATGATTTTGTTTTTACCATACTCACTAATTGCGATGACAAGCAAATTGTCGGAACAAAATTAAACCTGATGGGAATTTCAATAATTTAATAAAAACGCGCTGCACGAACTCCAAGTTTTTTTTAGATTCCTGAAGAAAAACACCCAGAACTCGAACGTTTGTCTCAATTCGTGCTAGATTTTTCTTCATTTGAACACCGTACGTGACCCAATGCTTTGAGCTGCTTTATTTTAGTTGATTGGAGTGAAGAGTATGAATGGAAAAAATTGGACATTCTGGCAAATTCCTTAGTCACAGAGTAGTGCACATCTGCCCACAGCAGTCTGATTCATACAGTCACGCCTCCGGAAATACTTTCTTAATCCGATAAGCGCACTGCTACTAAACCTAGTGCTTGTTAAAAAACATCGCCCCTTACCTTTGACACTTCTCTTTGCCGTTCCCTATCATTTCGTAAGATGCAGCGAACCTGTGTTTTGAAATTATATACAACTAGTAAGACCCGATTCGGATTGAAGGAGTTCGTAAGCAACTGAAATATCTTTTATATTGTAGAAAAATCAGGCGGATAAAATAATTCTCTCTTTTCAATGAGCAGTTTCAGAGCATTTAGGGAACGAAAATACAAGGATCTTTGAGCACAGCATTACAATTCGAAAAGTTGGATTTCTCGAAGAAATTATTCACGAATACTCAACTGACTTAACAAAAGATCGCTTAACATTTGCGTTGCTGTTTTGGGATTCAGTCGTTTACGTGGGGCAGTAGCCCTCATGGTTCGAAACATTTGAGGTGCCACAACATCAGAAAAACCAAGACCCGATCGCTAGAACATGGATTTACTTAACTTGATGTTTAGGCTTGACCCTGCAATCCATGATAAAAAGCGATATCAGATATAGATTGCGAGCGCACAGAGTAGATGATTCTGGAGGATATGTTTGTTATGCACAAGGGCATCTGCTAAAAGTAGCGGCTCATGGATTTGTTATACCTGTCTGCGTTTTGTAAAATGACATCTTCTGCCCTTTCATCTGGGCGGTGAAATTCGTTTTAAAGACCTTTTCCTAGGCTAAATTTGACAGTGACAAAATTCACTCTTGGCTTTCGAAAGTTCTTTAGTGAAAAGTTTTTTCCCGGCAATGAACGTTGGAGTTTTTTAAAATTATGCCATGGCGTCTGCTAATTTTTAACCGTATTCTCCTTCTCTCTGAACTAAAAGTGATGTAACTCGAGGACCATAGATCTCAACCTTTTAAAGAAAAGCACTTTTCACCGTCCTAAGCTGACTCTTAAGATATCGGGAATGTCATCATAATATCATGTATGTATATCTCTAATCCGTTAACTTGTCGAAGTGGGCCTGCTTAAGGGAGGCGGCGGAAGTTATACACCAACAACTCGAAAATGGCCGGATATACATTCCGGGAAAGGATACGTCGACGGAGCCTAAGTACATTAGATTGCCCAACTCCTGAAATGTTAACTGAAATTCTAAAATTTACTTTGGATGCGAACAAATTAGTTAAGTGGGGCTGGAAATTATAAGTATCGTACAACCCACTTTCAAGACAATTCGGTCACGGCAGGATGCCGGCTTTTGAACAGGATTCTTTCCAATCACCTGCGCAAATTATATTCTTTAAAACTAGCTATTTAATTAGTGTGCATGTTTCTCGTTGATTTTCCGTACACTTATAAGTGCAAGTACATTTCTCTATTTTGTACTCATTTTCTAGGAAATATCTTGAAGAAAGTATGTCATTCGGTATATTATTTCAGACTATGAGTTTCTTGAGACCGTTAGATGTTCATTCATAACACATTGTATCCGTCAATTTATTCAAGTCACCTATAAAGTAGACAACACGAGTCGCATCCATTGCAAAATGGTATACAGCATTTAGTTTGAAGGATTTAGATGCAAGTGTAAAGGCTGATAGAGTTCAAAATTATCTCGGCAATGTAGCGAAAGAAGCTTTTTGTCAAGTATAAAATTAGAAAGAGATGTAAATTGCTACAAAATGAGTAAAAGAAGAATCGTTTGTTTTGTGTTTTCTATAAAATGTATTTAAATTTTTAAGGTAATTATAGGGCAACAAGAAAAATGTACACTATTAATGTAGCCATTTAAAAATATATATATATAATTTGTTCAACCGGACGGAAATAAGCCCATTCGAAAGCCGGCATCCTGCCCTGACTGAAATATCTTGAGATTAGGTTGTACAATACTTAGTATTACAACCCTACTTAACTAATTTGTTCGAATCCAAAGTAGATCGCAGATTATCAGTTGATATATTATGAGCTAATGAATATACTGTGACTGTATAAGGGAGGAAGACAATGCCAATCCTATGCCCATAATTGTTCTTCAAACCCTCCAGATGTTCATTCCAGTCGGCTACCGAAGAGAGCTAAAGACGCACAGCTTATTTATCAGTCCCCCAACTAACCGACAGCTGTAAAAACGAAGTAGGGGCAGGATTGAAGGTTACTTCTAACGGAGTTAAAATTTTCACTGAGTTGCACATCTTACTTTACCTCTAAAAGTATGTATGGGTGACAGCTAACTACAGAAGTCGCCACAGACCATGCAATTTTCATAACTTTGTATAAGTTTGATCATTAC